CTTCATCTTCATGTTCTCTTGGTATGGTATTTTTCCTCCACCTTGTAGGTACCATGATATTTTGGTATTCGACTTTTTCTTCCTCCCAGTTCCACGCAGCATTTTCATCGAACTCGACTCGACTGATAATTAGTTTACCAGTCTTGAGGATGTAAATTCTGTATCCTTTAGATTGAGATGCATAGCCGAGAAATATGCCTTTCTCGGATTTCTCCTCTAATTTGTGTCTCTTTTCCTTTTGGGATGTGCACGTAGCAGATACTCCCAAAGACTCGTAAATGTTGGGCAGATGGCTTTCGTCCACTCCAAGCTTCTATTGGAGTTTTATTTTGTACAGCTTTAGTAGGACACCTGTTGAGTAGATAGACTGCAGTGTATACAGCTTCTGCCCAAAATTCTTTAGGCATGTTCTTCTCTGCGAGCATTGTCCTGGCCATCTCTTGCACTGTTCTGTTTTTTCTTTCTGACACGCCGTTTTGCTCTAGAGCATAGCCTACAGTAAGCTGATGGTTGACTCCTACATCCTCGCAGAATTTGTTGAACTCCTTGGATGTATATTCTGTCCCTCAATCACTCTGAAATACTTTAATTCTTCTTCCACTTTGATTTTCGACGAGGCTTTTGAATTTCTTGAAAATAGAGAAGACTTCGGATCTTTCTTTCATGAAGTACACCCAAGTCATTCTTGTATAATCATCAATAAAGAGGATGAAGTACCTGTTCTTCTCGAAGGTTGGCGTCCTCATTGGTCCACACACGTCTGTATGCACCAGCTCCAGTATTTGTTTGACTCTTTCTGCTTGCTTGAATGAAATGGTTTTCTATGTTGTTTTACCTCCATGCATTTTTCGCAGAGATTGTTGTTCAATTGGATGTCCGGTAGATTTCTCATCATATTTTTTCTGATGGAGTAACTTTAGCCCGTTAAAGTTGAAGTGCCCGAACCTTCTATGCCATAGCCATGATTGATCTTCTTCGGCTTTTAGTGCTGCTTCTATGAATTTCCAACGGAGCGGAAAGTTTCTCCGTTGTTGCATTTTTACTATAGCTATGGGATTGTTTTTGTTATCATAAATGGTGCAAGAGTAGTCTTTAAAGAGTAGTGTGTATCCTCTTTCCACCATTTGTCCCACGCTAAGTAAATTAGTATCAAGTTTTGGTACTAGCAGCACATCTTCAACAAGACGAGTACCTTTTTGAGTCTCGACTTCTATTGAGCCTTTGCCTTCAACTTCTACTAGATCTCCATTTCCCAATCGAACTTGTGATTTTACAGATCTATCTATATTTTTAAATTTCTTTTCATCTTCGGTCATATGGTTGCTACAACCACTATCTAGGAACCAAATATCATTTTTCTCTTCTGAAGTTGCTTGATTTGCATAAAATAACAAATTTTCTCTTTTTTCATTTTCTTCAGAGAAATTTGCTTGATATCCTTTAGCGCGGCAATTTTTCTCCACATGACCGAATTTACCACAATTTTTACATTGTGGTTTATTCCGGTACCAACAATCCTTCTCAAGATGGTTGGTTTCTTACAAACTCCACAAGGTGAATATTTTCCTTTTTGTTGATTATTATTATTTCCACCTTGATTTTTACTTTTATTATTTTCTCCAAATCTTCTCCCCCAATTTTAGAATTCTGAGACCGTAAATTTAATTTTGACTGAAATGCATTTTCGAATGTGTCATTCTCACGCATACTCAGTCTTTTTTCATAGGCTTCTAGTGAACCTATTAATTCTGTTACTGACAAATGATCCAAATCTTTAGTTTCTTCTGTCGTCGTGACGATAGGATCATATTTGGCTGGTAGAGTAATTAGAATTTTTTCTAGCACCCTTCTGTCAGTAATATTTTCTCCATATCTTTTAATTGATTTACTACTTCTCTTAATCGAGTGTAGTAATCTTTTACGGTCTCAGATTCTTTCATCTTCATATTTTCCAAATCTCTTCTTAAAGTTTGTAATTTCAGATGACGTACCTTGTCACTACCCTGATATTCTTCCTTGAGAGTATCTCACGCCTCCTTTGATGTCTGTGCTCCGCTAATTCTCGGAAACAGGGACTCCGACATGGCCATTTGTAGTGTGAAAAGGGCCAAACTGTCCTTTTCTTTCTCCCGGTCGAATTTTTCTTCGTCAGTCGTAGACAAAGTGGATATGTCATCGGGGATAGTATACCCGTTATCGACAATATTCCATAGGTCTTGAGACATAAAATATGTCCTCAATTTAATGACCCAGTAGTTATAATATTCGCCGGAAAAAATAGGAATTGCTATTTGATGGGTGTTATGGGAAGTGGCCATAATAAAGATTTAGAAGGATATGTGAAAAATGGGGTATTTGGACAAGATATGTAAAAATGAGAGGATATGTAAAAATAAGAGGATATTGGAAAATAATTTCGCCCAGCTATTGATCCAACCGAACTCTGATACATATATATAGTAAAGATAATTTGTGATTATAATTGAAAAAGAAATAATAGTTAAGATTTATATATATATATATATATATATATATGAATATATATGTGAAGAAATAAAGTGAAAGACTTGTTTTCTTAAGAGCAATTTCACTTCTTCTTCTTGCATTTCAATTCACTCACGCATGGTACATATATATAGCTTGTATGGATATTTCTAGTCCTCAATAATTGATCATTGCCAACTAATTAAAACTAATGCTCAGCTAATGACAACTAATGCCAACTAATGACAACATAATTATTTCTTGAATGTGCATTAATAATTTAACAGGGGAAGACCGCCGGGCCTTGGCGAGAGAGAGGCGGGTGACCTGCGAGTTGTTGGCGATGGAGCTGCGGTGATGATGAGGGTCGTTGGTCTGGTTTGAACGAGAAGGGATGGCGGTTTGGTGATGGCGAGCAAGATGATGACGGGACTGCGTGGATAGATAGCAGGTAATAAAGCTGTGCGGGAAAAATTTCTCTCTTCTCTGTTTTATTTATTTTTTCGATGGTGATGATGGATTGATGATGACGACAGTGAGGGCAGGCTTTTGCGAGAAAAATGAGAGATACGAAGGAGCAAGTTTTCTTTCTCTCTGCTGTGGGTCGAGCGAAANNAAAAAAAAAAAAAAGAAAAACAGATAGAGGAAAAATATTGCTGCCGGTGAGCTATTTTTTCTGCTGAAGGTTTATCGCGCACAGAGAAGAGAACGGATAATTGGCTGCGGGAAACGAGTTGAGCTGAAGGTTCTCTCACAAATATATAAGATTAGGTTAAGGATGTCTTGCCCTGCAAGAAAAACTTACCATACACAAGAGAGAGAGAGAGAGAGAGAGAGAGAGAGAGAGAGAGAGAGAGAGTCGGGCGGGTCTATGGTGCGGGGCGCACGGTTCGGGCCGGAGGTTCACCTCTCGGTTCGATTATCCAACACTTAGGAAAAATACGGGGTTCGATCGCTCGATTCCAAAAATTAAACGAATAAGTTAAAATTATAATGCAAACGTAATAATATTTATTAATAATACACATTTAAACACATATTATCAATTAGGCAAATTTGACATTTACTACAAAAATAATTACATATACAATTATTAGCAACTAAGCATCTAGACATTTAATATAAATACAATAATATTTAATTACAAATATCAAGCACTTAGACAAATAATATTAGGCATTAAATAATAACAAATAATAATAATAATAAATAAATAAAAATCTCAAATAATCCTTATTCAAACGGGGTATTACAGCTATTAAGTTCAATAGTATAAAAGATTCCATTAAAATAATGTAAAAAATATCATAATAAAACAAAACTAAAGAAAAATGTTTGGTAGCTTATAATTTATTTAGTTAGTTTATAAGTGTTTTTTGTATTCAAATAAGATTCGTTTGTTTGGACGAGCTTTTTAAAAAGTTCGAGTTTATCTCATAAACTTCTTTGGGTAGTTTTACAAATAAGTTGGCTGGAATTTATATTTCAACTAGGTTATCAGTTAATTTTACCAAACACTTTTATTATATAAGCTAACATTTCAGTTATAAGTCATAAGTCATATAAGCTATAAGTTCGAAAAATCAGTACTAAACTATAAACTAGTTTATAAGCTATCAGCTGGCTTTTCCGAACATAGTCTAACGAGAGAGATAGTGTGTATGAGGAAAAAAAGAAAAAAAGGACATTATCGCCAAAACAACTGGCAGATTGGTGGTGCAGAGAAATGTTTTAAATACCATACTGTACCTGCTGGTAATACCGGATACCGGCCATTGGTAATGGTACAATCACACTCAAAATACCAGATTTACGGTTATACCAGTTTGTACCGAGATCATACCGTAAAAACCGTAAAATATCGGTCCAAAATACCGACCAATAAAAAAAATTAAAAAATAATTTTTTTAATTTAAAATAATAAAATTTAAATTAGTAGTTAAAATGTTTTATTTTTATTTTATTGATAAGTTGAAATAATGATTATGGTCATTTATTTTTTATTTTTTGGCATTTGGCATTATATATTTTTATGTATATCTATATATCATTATATTTGCTAATTCGGTAATACCACCGATATTACCAGTCCGACCGGTAATACTGCGTACCCGTGGCTAGACGGGTATGGTATTTAAAACACGTTCTGTTGCAAATTTCTTCAAGATTTCGAAGCCACGGTGAAGGCAGTTAACTGTATATATAATTCGACTGGTTTTGCTCAAACAATTTCCAGTAAACACGTTACAATCGACTTATATAAACCCACTCAGTCGCCTCTTGCTTTCGGGGATAATCCGGCGGTACTGATCAGATTCCGGCCAAAGAATCCCTTTTTACAACGGCTCATTTGGTTTTCCGGTGACCCGGATGTTTTCTTGCTAACCCTCCTTTGTTTTGGGATTTTCATTGCATTGAAATTAGCTAAAATAGAGAATAAAAGAGGATTTTATTCTTGTGTTTTTTGAGATATGGAAGTTGGGAGCTGAATCTGAGTTGGGCCAAGTGAGAAAAAAATGGGAGCTTGTTTGAGTATTGAGGGAGAGGAGGATAAATCTTCAAGCAATAAACCAGGTGTGTTGACTAAACATACTTCTTCTTTTTTTTTTTTTTTTTCGTTCTGTATGATCTTAAATAGTTTCTTAACTCTGTCTAAATATGTTCTTGAAATGGGATTTGAAAATTGAAATTAGGTCTATGTTATGTGGTAATGTTATCTTTGGCACTGAAAGATTTGATGCTATCTTATACTTGGATCTTTGGACTTCAATGTCAGTGGATGCCAATTTTGAAGTTGCTCTAGAATAAAAGTTAGCATGTGGACAATGTTGTTCCTGATTTTGTCTTGAAGATTTGGAATGTTTTGTCGTTTGATCAAATATGTGACACGAGTGACGCGATATGCTAAGTTCCTAGCTAGAGGCCAAGAAATCAATTGGATCTTGGACTTTTATCAGTGTTCAATGCTGGTCGGCGGTACTTGTAAAATGAGACAAAGAAATTCCAAACTCTACCGAATAGCTACAATTACAGCGCGTCTTTTGGAGTTATTATGCTGAAACAATACATTCTTTGATAAATTGTTTCGTTTCTTTTGCAAAACAGAGGTAAAAAAGTTGAAGCAGTATCAGAAACCATGCTTTTAAGTTTAGGTTAGCTAATGCTATTGGAAGCTAATACTCGCGCACTATTTTTATTTTTATTTTTCCGGCCAACAATGCATCTTTTGATGATTTCAAAATATAGTTTCTGATGCACGTGTTGATTTCTTTTTGTTTTGATGTTACCAGACTTGAATGATGAATCTGCATCTCATGCAAAAGGGAACACTGGTAGTTCGAACTCAATCATGATAATACCTAGAAATATAAAAGATTTACGTGTATGTCCAGGGAATGGTGATATTGATATCTTCACATATGAGGAGATGAAGTTGGCGAGCAGGAACTTCCGGCTGGATCAGGTTCTTGGTGATGGTGATGGTGGCTTTGGTATTGTCTATAAAGGAGTTATAGAAGATAATGTGAGGCCAGGGTATAAGTCAACCACAGTGGCAATCAAAGAGCTTGATCCCCATGGATTACAAGGAGACCGAGAATGGATGGTAAATATTTTTCATCATTTTAATTTGATTTTGCCAAGTTTGTGGTGTTGAGGAATCAAATGGCTTTGAACTGGAAAGAATTCGATTGGTTGAATTGCTTGTGCTGCTCGGAAGTTTGTATTTTGTAATAATTAAGTGAGATTTCTAGCCACCGACTTCAAAAATATGGTCTGAAGGTACTTAGGGAGAGACTCGAAATGATTTTAAGATGTGAGTTTTCCGAGGTATTTGTCCTATAAAAATTTTCTGGTTTAAATTTTATTCAAAATCTAACTTAACTCTTCTTTTTCTTCCACCGACTCTGATGTGCTATCGCACACTGGACCGGCCTTCCTCGATCTCCAACAGTCTGAGCCTCGGAAACCTGCAAAGACGTCGGGAAGTGATCCCGGCGGTAAACCTCCGACGCTCAAGTTAGTAGGGTATCGAAGAAAGCACAGTATGTATATTAGAATTTTATAAAGTAAAAACTCTGCCTACCATCACACAGGGTCTACCTCTTTATATGTAACTCCCTAGCTTCATATGCACGCCTTACTCCTTGTCCATCAGATCACCTATCCCTTCTATGATCACCACACTACACGTGTCACTCACGGATCAATTGAATAAATATCACCCATGTTCTATTCTCGACCCACTTAGGACTCCTTTTACGCGCCCATAAGCATTGGGCCACACCCACACATTACTGGATCATTACATCTGCTCGGCCAATGCACCTAGCCGAACTGGTACTGGGCCGAGCCCATATGTGACCGAATCATTGCACCTGCTCGGCCCACAAGCATTGCATCCGGCCAATGACCCGAGCTGCTTTTTGCCGGTCTAAATGCCCTATGCTATATCATCTAGTCCCCCCATTATCAAACGAGCTATTACTTCTTTATCTGATATAGACATGTTTGATAATAACTCCAAAAAATAAAGTTCCCCTCGTATTGTGGTCCCGGATATGAACCGAGCAGACGTGTAGCCGAGCAGCTGAGTTGTCATGGTGACCGAACACTTTCGAGCAGGTTAAAAAGCCCCACCCGAGCAGATTATTGAGCTCACAAACCGAGCCACCCGAGCAGATTAAAAAGCCCCATCCGACAGATTAATAATTTCCATCCGAGCAGATTATTTAACTCGCGATGGTCACTGTCCTGTCATCATTGCCATCCGTCATGTCATATCATATCCCTAAAAATCATGATCACTTAAGCCATCCGTCATGTCATATCATATCCCTAAAAATCATGATCACTTAATTTGTACTTTAATACTTGGGCCACGTGCCCACTACTTTATCTAGCATTTTCTTGCAAATTGTATCCAGCATTTGAAAAGTCTTCTTACTATATATAAATAAGTATTGTTTTCTTCCAAAATGCACTTTATTTGGTTTACTTAAAACTGCATCCAAATCCGAGCAGATCACCACCGTACTTAGCCGAGCAGCTTTCTAGCCGCGTTGATCGAGCAGTTTAAGCAGCGTCTACCCAGCGTCTACCCGAGCAGATTCTCCAAAAATCATTGGCCGAGCAACTTGACTGCTATGGCGACCGAGTAGTTCAAGCGGTACATACCCGAGCAGATGGTTTAGCTCGCGAACCGAGCCGCACCTTGCTCGGAGCCGCACAAGTACGACACATGAGCCGCACCTTGCTCGGAGTTTTGTCCGGACCAGCAAACCTAATGCTCGTCTGCACGTCCTTGTCCGAGCAGAAACACCACTAGCTTCAAATTGCTCGGATGTTGTCCGAGCAAAATAAAACGCGAGCCTCAACCTGCTCGGGCTTTGCGAGCCTTATTCAGCTCGAATTTCGTTTGCGAGCCTCAATCTGTTCGGCTTGTATTCGCGGTCCTCACTCTGCTCGGAATTTGCTCGAGCAAAAAGCTACAACACTGTCTGCTCGACATTGACAACACTCGAGTTTACAAAGGCACGGCCTTAAGCCACCATATTATTTTTCACAGCACCTAAACTCGCTAGAGATCGGCCTAAAGCAGATGAGGCCCTCCGCGACCAAGCAGGTTAGACCATCGCTACCTAGACCATCCACGTTGCTACAACACCTGATCGCGTATCCGAGCAGATTAATAATCGCATACCCGACCACATGAAGCAACTCCCGACCGAGCGGCTTCGGACCGAGCAGATAAATAAATCCCTACCCGAACAGATGACGCGAGCCTCAATCTGCTCGATTTTGTCTGAGCAACTAACCCAACATCACCTACTCGGTTTTTTTTTTTTTGTCCGTGCACATTCCCAAACGCCCATGTGCTCGGTCTTTTTCCGAGCAAAGGCCCAAACATCCGCATGCTCGGTTTTGTCCAAGGAAAGACCCAAACATCCATCTGCTCGGTCTTGTCCAAAGAAAGCCCGAACATCCACCTGCTCGGTCTTGTCCAAGGAAAGACCCGAACATCCACCTGCTCGGTCTTCACATCATTTGAACAACACTCGAGCTCACCAGAGCCCGACTTTAATCCGTCCCATCCTCTGAACAGCACCCGAACTCACAAGAGCTCGGTCTTAAGTCATCAGACACTTTGAACAACACCTAAACTCACACGAGTTCGGCCTTAAGCCGTCACACCCTTTGAACAACATCTGAACTCACAAGAATTCGGCCTTAAGCCGTCACACACTTTGAATAGCACCCGAACTCAGAAGAGTTCGGCCTTAAGCCGCCACACACTTTGAACAGCACCCGAACTCAGAAGAGTTCGGCCTTAAGCCGCCACACACTTTGAACAACACCCGCCACACACTTTGAACAGCACCCGAACTCAGAAGAGTTCGGCCTTAAGCCGTCACACACTTTGAACAACACCCGAACTCACAAGAGTTCGGCCTTAAGCTGTCACACACTTTGAACAGCACCCAAACTCACAAGGGCTCGGTCTTAAGCCGTCACTTTTGAACAACACTCGAGCTCCCAAGAGCTCGGCCTTAAGCCGTCACACTATTTTTCACAGCACCCAAACTCACAAGAGCTCGGTCTTAAGCCTCCACTTCTTTTGAACAACACCCGAGCTCCCAAGAGCTCGGCCTTAAGCCATCACACTAAATCCTTCATACGTAAAAAATGTGTACTCAAACATGCTTCATAACGTAAACATGCTTTGTGCATAACTAGCTCATTCAAAATCCAGAAAACAAATTCTTCGAAGACAAGTTAAAATTATCATGAACGCAATCAAACAATCGTTAAAGACTTAACAATAACTAAAAATTGTCCTTACTTAGCAATCCCGAGTCATTTATACGTCCCAGCACCTCTGGATCCTTCAGCGCATAAGCTCCTCCGATAAACACTTTCTGAATGATGTAAGACCCCTCCCAATTTGGCTCAAATTTCCCCAAATGCTTCAGCACATCAGCTCCATTACCTCATCTTGTGAGATCATCTTTGCTCTGGCCTATGCTTCTCCTCATGCTTCTTTCCCCTAGCCCGATCATGTGCGAGGAAATCTGCCTCCGTCTCCTCCATATTCATATACTTGGTACACCTTTCCAATAACTCATCATAGGATCGGGCGGACTTTTTGGCTAGCGAATTTCTGCAGTGACCTTCCTTTAACCCCCGTGTCAGCCCACCAGTCTTGATTTCTTCAGTCGCCGTAGGGACATCCACACATGCGCGGGTAAACCTGGCCACATATTCCCTAAGAGACTCGTTTTCACGCTGCTGCATGTTCATTAGGGACATATACGTCTTCTCATGTTTCCTCGTGCTGGAGAACTGGTTAATAAACAGCAAACTAAACGCGTCAAAGCTATAAATAGATTCTGCCGGTAGCTGGTGGAACCAGTCTTGAGCCGTACCCTTTAAAGTTGTCAAAAAGGCTCTGCAACAAACGCCATCATTATATCGATGTAAGACCGTAACATTCTCGAAACTCCGTAAATGCCTTGCCGGATCTGATGACCCATCATAATGTATACTCAGCTCCCGAAAATTTTGGGGTAAATCAGCACCCAAGACATCATCGGTAAATGGGTAACCCTGCATCCTGGGATGTCGCCTGCCTTCTACTCTTGGTTGGAGCTCTTTGATCTGATTTGCCATCTGCTCCATCATCACATCCCTAGATGGCCTCAGAACCACTGGCAATATCACCGACCTCTCCTCCTGATCATCCCTGCGGTGACTACCTCCTCGTAAAGGCCTAGACCGCGCGGGGACATGTTGCTCTACCTCAACAGCTGGCCGTTCCCCAACCACGATAGGCCGTTCCACGACCACCACAGACCGCTCCACTATCGCATCCGGTCTTTCTATTATTACAGCAGGCCTCTCCACTATCGCTGCATCTCGTGTGGCTAATGCCCGACCTACCGCCTCCGCGACGATGCGATCCAAATCTCCCCTAGTCACTCGCATCATCTGCTCTCCTCCTTCCGGTACTACCTCCGGCACCGATGTTCGCACTACCATCTCTTGACCCGCTCCTTGGTTCGCCAATCCCTGCCCCTGACCCGCTCCCTGGGTCGCCAATCCCTGCTCTTGATTCGACGGGGGAACTATGGGTACTCCTTGTATCGTAATTGGAGGAGGAGTCATCGAGCCTACTCCGCCGATCCATCCCTTCGGCGGCCCTCCGCCGTAGGGCGTCTTCGCTACCCATGCCCCGTCCAAAATCTCATTCAAGTTTCTCCTTGACTGCTCATCCGCGATCGTATTCGTCATCCTCGTATCCTCAATCGGTAGAAGAAAATAGTTGTCCCCACAGACGGCGCCAATTGATGTGCTATCGCACACTGGACCGGCCTTCCTCGATCTCCAACAGTCTGAGCCTCGGAAACCTGCAAGGGCGCAGGGAAGTGTTCCCAGCGGTAAACCTCCGACGCTCAAGTTAGTAGGGTATCGAAAAAAGCACAGTATGTATATTAGGGTTTTGTAAAGTAAAAACTCTGCCTACCATCACACAGGGTCTACCTCTTTATATGTAACTCCCTAGCTTCATATGCACGCCTTACTCCTTGTCCATCAGATCACCTATCCCTTCTATGATCACCACACTACACGTGTCACTCACGGATCAATTGAATAAATATCACCCATGTTCTATTCTCGACCCACTTAGGACTCCTTTTACGCGCCCATAAGCATTGGGCCACACCCACACATTACTGGATCATTACATCTGCTCGGCCAATGCACCTAGCCGAACTGGTACTGGGCCGAGCCCATATGTGACCGAATCATTGCACCTGCTCGGCCCACAAGCATTGCATCCGGCCAATGACCCGAGCTGCTTTTTGCCAGTCTACTTAAATGCCTTGTGCTATATCAGACTCCAACTTATTTTTTCGAAAATTATCAAATCATTAATCATTACTCCACATTTTTGTTCTAAATTTTGCCAGTCACGGGTCACCTACTCACGCAAATTAAACAACTAACATATCATATCAACTTTCTGCATTATATTTGCATCTCTTATCCATTCACTCTCTGAAAATCAATCATTCTCATTTCAAAAATTCTCACTATGCTTGTTGCCTTTTAACAGACAAATTGATTCACCTCCATATCGTAAAATATATTCATTTAATAATTCTTCATTTACTGCACATTCGAATTCCGAAGGTGGAGTCAGTTTTCTCAGCATTAGATGAATATTGCAGGCAGAGGTCAATTATTTAGGCCAGCTTCGACATCCGAACTTGGTGAAGCTGATTGGCTACTGCTGTGAGGGTGACCATAGGTTATTGGTCTATGAATATATGGCGTCTAGGAGCTTCGAGAAACATCTTTTTCTTAGTGCGCGCGTAACACAGCTGAAAACTGCTATTTTCATTTATTTATTTATTTTTTTTATATGCATCCTCTGATTCATTTCACATGGTTACTTTCGGGCATTACTATAAGCAGAAAAATAGTCCTTTTTTTTTTTTATCGATCCCAAGTTATGGACTTGTTTCATTGTTGGGAGTGTTGATCAACCTACAACCGACTAGCATACCGTATTCAACTTACTTCGGTTTTCGACAAATTTCATCTTTATATTAAAATTTTGTCCAATATAATGCAAGGAAAATTGAGAAAGGTCTGGAAAAAAAAAAATTGTAATTCCAAGTATATTAATTGTAATGTTTCCAATATGCGTGAAATTTTCTCCAAGCCTATCTAAGTGGATATAAAAGATGATACGTATGTGTACATTAGCTACAGATAGAAGCTCATCTAGACATTAATGGCCATAGAAATTTAGTTGTACCGAAAAATAGACATTTGGCATAAGCTTCTTTAGGTCCAAATCATTTCAATTGCATTTATAGATGTTGTGCCTACTATTAACTTCTGGTAGCAAAGTGGTCGTTTGATCGTACTCTAGTTTGACATTTTACGTGGTATAAACGATTGAAGATTGCCTTTGATGCTGCAAAAGGGCTTGCTTTTCTTCATGGTGTGGAGAAACCTTCGTCTTATAGGGATTTTAAAACTTCAAACATTTTGCTTGATGGGGTCAGTTGAACTTCGTCTTATGGGAAACTCCACAACTGTGTTTAGCCAAATTTTCAGTGATATCTAAATTCATGTTACTGCTGGTTTAAAATTCAATTTTAGAGTTATATTGCTACAACTTGAGACAAAATTCAGAGGATTTTAATGCAAAGCTTTCTGATTTTGGACTGGCAAGGATGGGTCCCACAGGAGATCAAACTCATGTGTCGACCCGTGTTATGGGTACCTTCAGTTATGCCTCTCCAGAGTATGTCATGACCGGTGAGTTTGAATACTGTGATTAAGTAATAATACTGTAATTCTACAAAAAAAAAAAAAAAAAAACAATTTTTTTCGAATCAATACTGTGATTAGGTAATAATTCTGATAAAAATCTGCTCAGGCAACATACTTCTTTGTGAAAAACACGAATTTGCCCGGGACAGTGGATTTCTTGAACTAGTTCATAGCAAACATGATCAAGAAATGCTAACTGGACGGATAAAAAAGCAAACTTTCACCTGAGATTCTATCTGCTCAAGATGGACAGACAACACAAGTGTCGAAACTGTGTTTTGGAAAATTTATAAGAACTGTGTTTTTCTCTTTCTTTAAGTGCCCAACATTTCAAATATCACTCTTTTTTCTTTTTTTTTTTCTTTTTTTTCTCAGGTCACCTGACGGCGAAAAGTGACGTTTATGGCTTTGTGGTTGTCTTGCTTGAGATGCTGATCGGGCGGCGGGCCATGGACAAGAGTCGGCCCAGCCGTGAGCACAACCTCATCGAGTGGGCCCGGCCGCTCCTCAACCACACCAAGAAGCTCCTCAGGATACTCGACCCAAGAATCCAGGGCCAATACTCGACAAAAGTCCTCATGAAAGTGGCGAATTTAGCCTACCAATGCCTCAGCCAGAACCCGAAAGGAAGGCCCAACATGAGCCAAGTCATCGAGATACTCGAGCCCTTGGTGGCCCACGAGCTGAGGTTGGAAGACGTGGGACCACCCAACGGAGGTTGGTGCGTGACGCTTTACGAGGTCCCGAAGAGTGTCGAGAATAATACAAGTAATAATAATAAACAGGGGAATGGAAGGAGCAAAAGCGAGCCTCCAAAGGAGTGTGAAATTTACGAGCCTTCTTTAGAGGTTTCAAAGGTCGAGAGATCAATGTCCGATGTATGTTTTGAGTGAAATGCGTAATTCTTATAGCTTTTGTTTTCTTAATGTGAATTTTGTTCTTCACCTTAAAACCAAATTGAATTTACACTCATTATCGTACTTATAATCAAATAAAATGTATATTTTTACAAAAAAATGTATATTTTTACAAAAAAAAAAAAAAGGTAATAATACTAATAGTGGGGACACAAATTTGATTTATTGATAACCTAATATGATGTTTTTTTTTTGTACAGATTATATGGAGCTTTCTTGTGATATGAGGACAAATGTGTATTGAAATGTACATCTAGTGGTCCACACTCCACACAAATGCAATTGTCCATATTGAGCTATACAAATATTTGCTGTGTCTTAATCATTTTTAAGTTATTATACTGAGTTTGAGATGGCTCTACTTGGAATAGATATGTAAATGGAAGTGCATGATTTGTGTTTTTAGAGTTGATTAGGACCTCTCAACTGAAACTTCTCCCAATTATCTCAATATACAATACATTTTTATGACATTATTAGTAGTCTCTGAACAATTGTATATGCTAACATACTTTGAGTGCATGATTTGTGAAGCTTACGAAAAAAAGAACGAGTAAGATTTTAAGGTGAATATAATGTGGAGGCTGAGATTTTGTGAAGGTGAAGATGATGACGAGCCGTGGCTAACGAGCTTTAATGGCCATATTGGGAGACAGTTTTGGGAATTCGACCAAACCGTCGGGACAGCTAAACAACTAGCTCTGGTCGAAAAAGCTCGTCATGAGTTCAGACAAAACCGTCATGAGACGAGGCACAGTTCGGATCTCTTGATGAGAATTCAGGTTGTGTGTGTTTACAAAAACTGTATTCTGGGCTAATTCAACTTATAGGTTCTTTTTTTTTTTTTTTTTTACAAAAAAAAAAAAATTGCTACAACTTTCATTCATATCCCCTGTAGTTTGCAGCAAAGGAGAATTCTTGTGGAGTGGATTTGCCATTGCAAGTGAAAGTAGGGACTGAAGAAGATATTACGAGGGATGAGGAAGTGGGCATCACACTAACAAGAGCCCTCAGATTTTACTCAACTCTTCAAGCTGAGGATGGGCACTGGCCAGGTGACTATGGTGGCCCTTTGTTTCTTTTGCCAGGCCTGGTGAGGAAAAACTGAGTATGCTATTACAAAACCACCCCAAAAAATATTTTCATAATTCAAAAAAGACCCACTTGTTTCCTTTAAAAAACTTGCAGGTTATAGCTTTGTCTGTAATGGATGATGCTGTGGATGCCATTCTCCCGGACGAACACAAGAAAGAGATGTGCCGTTACCTGTATAACCATCAGGTAATAAGTCGATCCACGTCATTTGACGACATTAATAAAATGGCTACTTATAGAAACTAAAAATTTCATTATATTCATATACTGATAAGTAACATATTTAATAGAATCTTGATGGAGGCTGGGGATTGCATATAGAAGGACACAGCACCATGTTCTGCACGGCCCTTAATTATGTCGCGTTAAGGCTGTTAGGAGAAAAAATCGTCGGTGGAGATCGATCGATGCAGAGAGCACGAAATTGGATCCTCGATCATGGTGGTGCCACCTGTATTCCTTCTTGGGGAAAATGCTGGCTCTCGGTAAAAACTGATCGTCATAAAACAAACTTTTTCGTTTGTTTTTCATACTTTCATATTTTTTTCTTTTTTCAAAACGTAAGCATTTGCCTAGGTTCTTGGCGTGTACGAGTGGAATGGAAATAATCCTCTGCCACCCGAGCTATGGCTTCTCCCTTACTTTGTTCCTTTTCATCCAGGTTTTTACTTAATCTGCCGATGTTCGATTTTGTTAACTTGCTTCGAATATATTTGAATTGTACATTAAGCTGACAGCCTTTTTTTCAGTTGCTGATTCGAAGTCAAATTCTACGTGTGCTCTTTGTTTCTTTGTCTTTTCATCCGTTTATTTTTTTATTCTTTCCACATGAAATGCATATAATACGGATGTAGGGCGAATGTGGTGTCACTGCCGAATGGTATATTTGCCGATGTCGTATTTATACGGGAAGAGATTCGTGGGCCCGATTAACCGAACTATTCTCTCTCTTAGGAGAGAGCTCTATGTTCAAGCCTACCATCAAATTGACTGGGATTTGGCCAGAAACCAATGTGCCAAGGTATAATAATAAAAATTATATACACTCTGTTAAAATATGTTCGTCCTGCCCGATTTTTCTTCAGCTTCCTAGAAAACCGAAAATTGCAACTTCATTCAGGAGGATTTATATTATCCACACCCACTTTTACAAGACATCCTATGGAAGTGTCTGCAAGAGTTTGCCGAACCTCTTCTCGTGAAATGGCCTTTTTCTAAGCTAAGGCAGAGATCGCTAAGCACCGTTATGAAGCATATCCGTTACGAAGATGTAAACACTAATTACCTCTGCATTGGACCTGTGAATAAGGTATAGCTCTTTATGAACTCCTTTTTCAAATTTATCTGTCTTAATTATTCGAAGTCGAGCGTTTATTATTAACGTGGTAAAGCAGGTTTTAAATATGCTTTGCTGTTGGGTGGATGACCCGAATTCAAAGGCCGTCAAGAGCCATTTCGCGAGAGTTAAAGACTATTTGTGGGTGGCTGAGGATGGAATGAAAATGCAGGTATGTAACGATTCACACAGATAAATTATGCACGAAAGGAAATCTCTTTTTCGAGTTTTATGATGCTAGTTTGGATATTCAGGGATATAATGGTAGCCAGTTGTGGGATGTTGTTTTGTCTGTCCAAGCAATAATCGAAACAAATCTTAAACAAGAGTACGGTTCGATCCTTACCAAGGCTCACGAATTCATCAAAATGTCGCAAGTGAGAATGCGAAAGGCTGAGATTCTTGTAACAAATCATATATTACTTGTTTATGTTTTTTTGTCATGTAACTAAACTAAAACATTTCCTTGTTCTATATTTTCTTGTTTTACTCTTTTATTTCTTTTTTTTTCTGAAGATGAGAAAAGACAGTACAGGAAATCCAAGTTCTTGGTATCGGCATAGATCTAAAGGCGGATGGCCGTTTTCAACGGCAGACAATGGCTGGCCGGTTTCAGATTGCACGGCGGAAGGCCTTAAGGTTATAGGAAAAAAAAAATCGAATAATTTGGTAATAGATTTTTCATTCGAGTTGTGAAAAGTAGAGCTCTTTACATCCAAATCGAGTGACTAAAAGTCTTAAACTTTTCGAAATGCATAACATCCGACTAAATGCAGGCAGCCCTTATGTTATCACAGCTGCCATCTGAGATTGTTGGGGAAGCCTTGGAAACCGATAAGCTACACGATGCGGTCGATTTTATTTTATCCCTTCAGGTTTCGTTTCTGATTGCTCGTTCTGTTTTTTTTTTTTTTTTTTTTTTTTNNTTTTTTTTTTGAGAATATTTTCAGAATTTATCTATCTAATGCTGCAGAACAACGATGGAGGTTTTGCCTCATACGAACTTACAAGATCATACGCTTGGTTAGAGGTAATGAACGACAACTAAAACCACATTTCTTAACACTATTTACAGAAGAATCGGTTTAGAGATTTGATTAAATTACGTGCATTTGTTCATCGACAGATGATTAATCCATCGGAAACGTTTGGTGACATCGTGATCGACTACCCGTAAGTCGAATTGTTTCAAACTTTTCTAGCTGTAGTCAACTCGAAAAAATGTCGGTTATTCCCCATAACTAATTAACTAAACCACCATTTTTCTTGAATATACACTATACTATACCTTCAAAATTGAAAAAAATCTCTGCACATTTTTATTGTTTGTCTAGTAAAAACCTTACGAATACAAGAAGCCTGTTTAACATAGGTATGTCGAGTGCACGTCTGCTGCAATCCAAGGTTTGAAGCTCTTCCGAGAACTCTGTCCCAACTACCGAGGAAAGGAAGTCGACACTTGCATCCAAAAATCGGTTAAATTTATAGAAAGCAAACAGTTACCAGACGGCTCGTGGTATAGTACAACATTAATCAAGCTATTCGCGAAAAACTTAACTTTATTCATTGAAAAAAAATACTACAAATTAAATATTAACTAGGTACGGTTCTTGGGGAGTATGCTACACATACGGGACGTGGTTCGGGTTAACGGGACTTATCAATGGCGGCAAGACGTACGCAAACAGCCCATCCATTAGAAAAGCTTGTGAGTTTTTGCTGTCGAAACAACTCCCATGTGGAGGCTGGGGCGAAAGCTACCTCTCGAGCCAAGACAAGGTGAAGCAAAACGCTGTAAAAGAATATAAGATTCTAAACTGCCTCGATTTTTATTATGTTTCGAGTCTGAAAACATAGGTATACATGAATCTTGGAGAGAACAAACTGCACATCGTAAACACTGCATGGGCCCTGCTAGCACTTGTTGAAGCAGGACAAGTAAGTCATTATCATCATACACAAGAATGTGCAAATAAAAGCAAAAAAACAAAAAATAAACAAAAAATAAAAAACAAATGCAGAAACACATGGAAAACAATGGTATTAGTAAGGGAAAAGATCCATTTTTTTCATACAGTTTTTGATTGTTTCTTGATTTGCAGGCCGTTCGGGACTCGACTCCACTGCACCGTGCGGCCAAAGTGCTGATCAATTCACAAATGGTGAATGGAGATTTTCCTCAGCAGGTACTTTTGTGTAGTGAGAAACAGAGGAATTGAGGAGAATAAAATGTTTCAAGTAAAATATGTTTACTATGGAATGTAAAACAGAAACACAATACCAACATTTTATTTTTTTCCTTTTCTTCAACAGGAAATTATTGGTGTATTCAACCGAAACTGTATGATAAGCTACTCAACTTACAGAAACATTTTTCCCATATGGGCACTTGGAGTTTACCTTAACAAGGTTTTAAGGTCTTCAAATTGAACTGTCTGTATTTGAAAACGGGCGACATTGACGCAGAATCCTGCCAACTCTAAAGAATGTTTGTATAAATAAATTACAAACTGATTCGGTATTTATTTTTTACGAATTATTTGTATTTATATTTCAATAAAACTATTTTGAAAGAAGTGTTCATGGCAGATGATAATATACAGTTATTTTCATGTTTTGTATCACGAAATGTTATTGATTGGTCTTCCTTGATATTTATGATTTGCTTTAGGCTATGTTTGGTAAACCAATAAGCTAGCTTATAGTTTATTTGATTAGCTTATAAGCTCTCTGTATTTAAATAAGTTCTGTTTGGTAGGACAAGCTTATTTAAAAAGCTCGAGCTTATTTGATAAACTTGTTTAGGTAGCTTTTCAAATAAGCTAGTTAAATTTTTTATTTCAGTTAGCTTATCAATTAATTTTACCAAACGCTTTTATCATATAAGCTAGCTTTTCGGCTACAAGTCATAAGTTACAAGCTATAAACTCAAAAATTACTGATAAGTTATAAACTAACTTATCAGCTATCAGCTAACTTATCAGCTAGTTTACTAAACATAGCCTTAGAAGCATATGATTATTTAGGTATATATTATTAGGGGGAAAAAAACGAAAAGGAAACAATACAATATTGTTTGTACGATATCTTGGGTATCTTCTTTACAAATTCCTAAGGCTTTAATCAAATTCCACGTCAGTCCCTAGTCATAATTTTTTTCCATTTAACTACATACCCCCTTATACAACTTCCATTTAAATTCCTCCAATTGAAATAAATCACAAAAAATTTTCATTGTGATATCATCCCACTACCAATTACATATTCTCATTATTTTATTATTTCACTCTCCACTACTATCATTCTTAATTTTTTATCCCCTATATATTAATACAAAACGGGGTGAGTGTGGCTGCTTCTGGTGCTTCGGAATCTTATATGGCAAAATTACATGCTTCGTTATTAGGCTTGGGTAAATTTTAATTTAATTCCAAACCAAAAATAATTAGGTTCGGATTACCATAAATATGTTGATTATTTATGGTCATGGTACATTTATTAATTGTATTTTAATATCATTCCTTATTATAACCATTGATTTGTATATATATTTTAAAAGTTAATAACTTTTGTATTTTTTATCAGTTTTACATATGTAATATATCAAATTAATCTTCTTTTGATGAGCTTCAATTTAACATCCATATTGTATGTATAGAAAAAATAATTTATATTTATTTTTATAACAATAATAAAATTATTTTTAATATTAATTAGAAAAATAAAATTATTTATCAACTAATATATTTATATTTCAAGTAGTTATGTGATATAAGTTATAAAAACTAATATAATATAACACATGTACGTCATAAGTAACACATATCATTCTAAAATATATAGTAATATATATTTTTTTTGTAAAAAAGTAAACTAAATTTAATATAGTTTTCTCATTAATTTTAAAATTTAAGAATAATTTTTTTAACAAGCACCCGTGTAATACACAGGTGTTGTACTAGTTACTTTTATTTCTCTATCTTTTCACACATTTTTTATTATTTTCCTTTTTCATCTTTTACTTTTTATATCACATACAACTAATTTTTCTTAATTTCTTACTATTTTTACTAGAAGGCTACTGGCCGGGGTGGGTTATTTATTTCAAAAAAAATAAGTAGACAAAAATAAAAATAAAAAATGTGGAAAAAAAATCAAACACACGTATTCTGGGAATACGTTTTTCTAAAAAATAATTATTTAGAAAAACGTATTCAGTGAATACGTTTTCAATATTTTTCTAAATTAAAAATAAAAAACACAAAATTCATTTAATATTCGAATATTAAAAAAATAATAAATATAAAACGTATTATCTAAATACTTTTAAACACTTTTCTATTTCTAATTTTAATTAGAAAAATATATATTTTAAAAGGTATTCCGAGAATACGTTTTAGAATTAAATTGTCGGTAGACGTATTCTCGGAATACGTTTTTAGAATTAAATATAAAAAAAACTCTTCCATTTCATTTGCGCAGAGAGCGAGCAGAAAGAAAAAACAAATATAGAGCAAAAGAAAGAAGCGAAAACAATCCGAAAAAAAAAAACTCGATCCAATTCTTACCCCGGCGTGAACCGACAACAACGATACGAGACTCATTTCCGGTTAATTCATTCGCACGAGGTATTAGCTTATCTTAACTTTTTACAATGTTTGGAGTTGTTTGGAGATTGAGAATTGTTATAATATATTTGAATGTGTTAGTGTTTGAAGATTGTAAATTACTAATTGATTATCGATTATGTATGTTTGTTAAATTCGAGATTGGAATTTTGTGTGTAAATTATCAATTTTGTATTATTTGGTTGTTGTTGGGGTTAGGGTTCTTGGAAATTAAGATTAGAATTAGGGCTTTCAATTTATCCGAATTATAGATAAATTTGATGTTATTGTTCGATAAGGGTATTAGAATTTTGGAGGGTTATATGATTGGTAATATTTTTTTTTTTTTGTTGGAGTAATAAAATGTGTTTTAAATTTTAGACATTATTTTGTTGTAATTTGTAAAATATATTTTTTTTTGTGCAACAGGTTATAAATGACGTCTATCGGTCCCTACATTGTTAATGTGTACTGAAAAATTCCTAAGAGTGAGTTAGGAAATTTTTCGAATTATTTGGCTAGTCCGGATTGTTCATTTGTTACTAATGGAATAATATCATATGAACAATTGGTAGATATGATTTACGAAAATGGTGGATTTCGTGATAGTTGGACCATTTCGGATATTAAATTGATGGTCAAACAACTGGATGGTTCGTTTATTCCCGCAAGAATGAATAATGATAGTGCTCTTTCGTTGAGTTACTACTATCCTCGTATGTCCTTTGTGTTTTTGTATATTGTGTTGGAAACAAACACACAGGTTACACATGTTGAGGATCCTACGCCATCATATGGTTACGAGGGAGTGTTTGGTTGTCAGGATACGTGGAGTACGCATGCCGGTAATTTTGGTGAAGGGACGAGTAATTTCGGCGAAAGGGACGAGCTTTACCATGAGAGGACCGGACATTGAGGAAAAAATTGTTGGAGATGAAGATTTCAGTCCCGGTGAAGACGATTTAACTGATGAGACCACGGAAACCGAATCGGACAGATCAATTAATGAGGAAAGCGAACAAAAATTCATTGAAGAACACCTCTTTCCAAATGAAGGCCTCCACGTATATCGCGAGATGAGTGAGTGGGACCCGTCGTGTGTAGACAGGGACGAGTATGCCTTGCCACTCTGGAATGGGCATGTCGAGACTATCCGTTTGGGTACAGTTTTTCGTACCAAGGAAGAAGCTCGGACTGGTGTTATGGCATGGAATGTTGAGAATCTTAGGGCGGTCCGGACAAAAGATTCCAACAAGAAGTCGTTCAAAGTTGTGTGCAGATCGGCTGAACGTGTACCATGTATGTGGAAGGCTCGGGTGAGTCTTAATCCACGGGTGCACGACATGTGGGAGGTAACCGAATGGACCGACAGGCACACTTGCATGCAGGTGGTCGAGAGAAATGACCACAAGAATGTGACGGCCACCATGATCTCAAATCTTTTGTTGCCTAAGATTCAGAAGCAGGTGACCTACATTGTGGAAATGGTCCAGGCCGACGTAAAAAGTGCCTAGAGCGTCGATGTGAGCTACAAGAAGGCGTGGCACGGGAGAAAAAAAATCCATCGATCGTCTGTATGGCACGTGGGAATCGAACTTCGCACAACTCCCCCAGTAAGCAAAAATTAATTACCAATGTATTTACGTGTTTTCTAACTATATTTATTTATTTATTTATGGGTACATTTTTATAATATTCAGGTTTTTTGTTGCCCTTCAAAGGGCGAATCCCGACACAGTCGTTGAGTGGGAATGGCAGAATGGGGAAATGACTCGTCGTTCTCAAGACAGAGAATTCAAATTTGTCTTCTGGGCTTTCGGGCCCGCCATTTGAACCTTCCATCTTTGCCCGCCGATTATTAGCATCGACGGCACGCACCTGCGAGGTTCGTACAAGGGTAATGTATTTGTTAATTACAAATGTATTTTTTATTTTCTAACATACAATAGTGTCTGATAAAAAAAAAAAAACATATGTCCAACTGAGCAAGTTCGTACAAGGGGAAGCTGCTTGTTGCCATAGCACAGACCGCGAATAAGCGTCTATTGCCAGTCGCGTATGCGATTGTGGACGAAGAAAGCACGAATAGCTGGTCCTTTTTCCTAACACATCTGCGCAATAATGTCCTCTCCGACAGGCAGATATGTCTTCTTTCCGACAGGGACAACGGCATATTGAGTGTCGTTGATTTACTGGAGGCTTGGCACGAACCCCATGCATTTCATCGGATATGCCTTCGACACCTCCGGAGCAACGTGGTTTCAAGGTATCGGAGTAAGAAAGTCCGGGTTCTGTGTTGGAGGTTGGGTTCATTGTGTTCTCGTCGCAAATTTGAGCATGCTCGACAGCAACTGCAGGAATGTCACCCGGAAGCATGCAGTTACCTTTTCCAAATTCTTCTGGAAAAGTGGACCCTGTACAGAGATAACAGACATCGATGGGGCACTCTGACAACCAATATGTCAGAGAGTTACAACAACGTCCTCAAAGGTGTTAGGTTCCTGCCCTGCAGAGCATTAGCATAAGCGACAATGGACAAGACTCTAGATTTGTTCCAACAGGAACAAAAAAAGTCTAGAAGCTGTCGGAGTCAAATTCCTACCCACCTCTATGCCGCCTATCTGGAGTTGGAGAGGACAGCGGCGACTCACGAGGTGGAATGTGTGGACGCCGACGGATCCCAGTACACGGTCATAAATGGTCTACGCGCCAGTAGAAGATGGCAAAACAAGTATTTATTTTTTATTATTTTTTTTTCCATTGAAATGATTTTTTTTTGTGTTTATTTATATATATAAATAATTGTGGAAAACAAGTTTAAGG